CGGCTGTCGCCGCTGCCGTCGCCGCGCTAGGCACGCTGGGCAGCTCCGAGCGCAGCTCCATGGCAGGACCTGATGTGGAAGAAGGTGGGCAAAGGGAGAGACTTGTGTGATGAGCGCATCGTGCGCTGGGTCAAAGCGCAGCCACGAGGAACTCAAACTTAGGAAAATTTTGGCCCAGGAAGTTTGGATGGTGGTTGCCCAGTTCCTGGGAGGGGGTCCATTCCCACCCCACTTCCACCGCAGCAGCTCTTATATCTGATTTAGACGGCGAGTGTAAGATTTCGTTTGAATCATTGCTTATGCTGGAAAAAAATAAACGGACATATAAAGTTTGAAAGTCATTAGTTCAGACGCAAGTAATGAAGATTTGAAAAAGAAAATATTGTCCCCAAGGCTTATCTTTACTTGGGGTGAGATGGATAGGTATGAATTAGTATTGGGATTGCACAGAAAGTTTTGGCACAACAGGTTGATGCTAGAGGTAAAATGGAAACCCCTGAAGCGAGACGTTCAGTTTACTGGTGGCGAAAGGGTGAAGAAAAAGACATGTCTCAGCTCAGGGTGAGATGACTGGGCCGGATTTTGTTTTGTTTTGTTTTGTTTTGTTTTGTTTTCATGCGGGTAGGACCAGGAGAGCTGGAGAGGAAGAAAAATCAGAAACAATAGCTTTTTGAAGTGAGGGCGAGGAAACAACTCACGGGTACAGGTAGGCCCAGAAGCCCTAAGACCCGCAAAAAATGGTGAGCTCTAATAAAAATTCCTTGGATCCAGCATCCAGAGAAGATGGGTGTAGCACTGAGTGAGAAGTACTGGGAGGATTAAAGAGAAATTTCGGCGAAGAAACTTTTCTTCGGATAGGCCAACTCAGCCCAGAGTTTAGCTTCAGGGTTAAGGATTACAGCGGGTATGAGTGTCTTGGACGCAGAGGCCACACGCAGGAGAGGGGAGTGCATAAGAAAAACAAACAAAACAAAACAAAAAAAAAACAGGCAAAGGCCAAGGGTGGATTTAGCGTAAAACCTATGGCACTGTTGTAGCTTTGTGGTCTGCGGGAAGTGGTCGGGGAGGAAGCAGTTCCTGCGAAAATTAGGCCTTACAGGAGGACGGTCTGTACTGCTGACCGGCCCGCAGTGCCCTCTCCTCCCCTGCCCTCCCAGTTGCCAGCTGAGCCATCAGACACGCCCTCCCCATCCCGGGACCCCGCTGGAGCGCAGGACCCGCGCTCCGTTATCGCAGCTGGGTTCCTGGGCTTTGGACGGCCCAGCAGGCCCAACCAGAGCAGGGGAGTCACCTCCGGAACTGTCCGTGAACGGATGGGGAGTTCCAGCCCTGCGGCAGTCCCAGAAGGCCCAGGCAGGCCCAGCTCCCAGCTTCCGCCACAGCTTCCTCTACCCCCACCCCCACTCAGGTCCCCGCCTGAGGCCAGGACCGAGTCCGGGCTTCTCTGTCCCAGAAACCAGACCTCCTCCCTAAGCGCGCTGCCTCTTCCCTCAGGCCCCTCAGGCCGCACAGTCCCTAAGGCCCGCAGGGCTCCGGCTTTAACCTGGGCCGCAGGCCGGGTCGCCTCCCCTGCTCTCCCTGCGGCCCTCAACTACCTGCCTTAGGCTCCGGGATCCTCCTCCGCTGGCGCTGCACGCGCCTCCCAGCTCCGCTCACGACGCTGGTGCTCTTGGCCTCTTCCCCTCGCCCCCGGCCCCTTATCTGACCACGTCACCCTCCTTCAGTCACCATGTCCGAACTTCCGGACCCCCTCAAGAACGCAGCGCGGTCCAACCCTCCCGTCGGAAATCGGAGCCGGGGACCCGTTTGGGGGCCGACAGGTTGGAACTTGCGACCCGGCTCTGCACCGTGCCGCGTCCCTTCGCGGTACACGCCGGACGCTGCGCACAGCCAGGGCCCAGTTGCCCGGCGCTGCCAGACTCTCAATGAGCTGCTCGCCGGATCTATTGTTGCTCCTTAGGGCTCCATTAGACAGAATTGGACAACAATGTGGCGCCTGCCATTGGCCAGGGGAGACAGACGGCGCTCTGATTGGCCGGGCCCGCGCCCGGGGAGCCCCGCATTCTACAGTGTCCGAAAGATTCGAAACTCCAGAAGCTCCTTGCGTGCCTCGGAGAGGGGAGGGGGCGCGCCAGGCAAGGAGTGGAAAAAAATGGGCGAGGAGGAGCGTTGAAAATACCGTGACAAGTAGTTTCCGTGCGCCCGAGAGCGTGTGAATTGCTCCTAATTACCGTGTCCGGTGCGCCTCTCTACGTAGAAGGGTGTAACCCCTCTGCTTCTGGGGCGTCCGCTTGGCTAAGCCGCTCTCGCTGGCCGGGGGCGCTTGGCCAGGCCAAGCTTCCCAAGTGGCCCTGGCTGCCTGGGGCGGGATGGGGGGCAGGTGACAATTTAATTACCACGGTCAGGGTGGGGGTGGAACTGGGGTGCGGGGATGGGGAAGGGAGGGTGTACATGGCATAAATGGCAAGAGGATTTCCCCTGCGTCCGCCGGCTCAGTATCGGCAGCTCCCAATCCCGGATGTCTGGGGCAGTTGAAAGCTATTTTGTTTTGTCCCTACCGCCTTTAAAGTTCAGTTCTTTTATTTAAAAAGTCCTGGTACGATAAGCATCACGGAGGGTAAGTGTAGTTTAGGAAGACTTTCGTTTTTAAAGAAGAGTCCAGAGAAAAGAATTGAGATTGCGCTTCCGTAG